TCTCCCACTGTGTGCTTGGTTCTTGAGTGGAGGACGGAAACGGCCAGAAAGAAGCCTGTGCCTAAAACCCCGGATCCAGAAGTGTGGGGTAGGACACGCATTTCCTACAGGTCAAAAGCAAGTAAAAAGAAGCCAAGGTAGACATGATGAAGGGAGCACATTGCAGCGCGCACGTGCCACGCCCGAGATCTGTGACTCTGTTTCCCTGGTGCAGAGGGTGGGGTGCAGGCTGGGGAGAAAGGCCGTCAGGGAGATGGGGTGCCCGGCCGTGTCATGCTTGGGTTGGTTCACTGTGCGGTTTAAGTGCTGAATTTAAAAAGTGTGTGTGGAGACGCTCTCCGTGGGTCAGTGGAACGGGACGGCTGAAGCGAATCCAGGGCTTCGGGGAAGGGACCTGGTGTGTCCCACCAGCAGAGGGGGTTTCGGGCCGGGCTGTTGCCGGCCGGTGCGCCGGGGCCACGCTGGCTGTAAGCATTCTGCGGGCTTTTCTTCCACACGTGTCGTGTGAATATGTGTTGCACAGTTTTCAATATCGAATTCAAGTTCTGTTGAGTTTTTGTTGACTCTTTTCTCATGTGTGCACTTTGAAACTTGTCGACTGTTGCTACGGAAGTTCCCAAGTGGGCCGGGCTGGAGATGAGACCCCGGGGCCCCGCACAGCCACGGTAGCCCATCAGCCATTGCTGCCTCCTTCACCCCTACGTCTTCTTCGTGTATCTTTCTAAGGCTCTTCCAGAAATACTACCATTCCGCCCACTCTTTCTAGACTCTTCTGGGGTCTGTGGAAGCCACCGTCTTCCCCGCAAGGAGAGCAAGTCCGGTAACTGGGCCTGCTTTTCCCTTCCCCCTCCCCTGAGCCGTGCCATTGCCGCCTGGGTCTAGGGCACCCTCTCGAGGGGAGGGGATGCCAACCCCCGGAGCCCCAGGAGCCCCTGAAGGTACCGCCCATTTGCCGGGTCCCCTGGAAAGGCCCCCACGTTGATCACTAAGACTTTTTCCAATTCCCAAAACAGTGCAGACACATTTTCGGTGACCAGGCAAATCCCAGCTCTGCTCTTTCTAAAAGAATGCACACTTGGAACATAACAGAGCCCAAATCAGTGCGATGGCAGTTGTCACTGTCCGTGTGGAAAGATTTTGCCACGGCCAGCTGCCGGGGCTCCTTGCGCTATATTAATAGCAGGGCCATGGGGCCCGATGGGGTCAGAAGCCAGGGAGAGGGGAGGGACAGCTGTGGCGGACATCACACCATGCTCCAGGCATGTGCTCCCGTGTCACGGGCACACAGATGGCCCACAGCTTGCCCTGCCGCTCAGAGCCCCCCAGGCCCGCGCCTGTCTTCTCCTTGTAGGGTCAGGAATGGGCTCCAGTGGACGGTGCACTTGACGGAGGAGCCAAATGAAGATTGGCGCGATTGGAACAGAGGGCTCGGGCGGCCCCGTGTTCTGGGTCAACTTACGCTTTTACTGGAAGTGCAGGCCTGTGCCGGCCGAATGAGGCCGTGCTATTCAAACAGCTGGGGGTATTGGGTTCTATATGCCAAGGCTGGACAGATATTTTTAAATGTCACAGGCCAAATGGAACCTCGGCTGGCGCTGGCCAGAGGGGCAGGGGGATTTGGAGGACACCGCATCAGCGGGGCTGGATATGGTCAGGAGAGCGGGGTGGGGTGGGGGGGGATTAGTGCTGGGAAGCAGCCCAGCGCGTGAGGCTCGGAGACGATGGAGCGGGAGGGTCGCTTGAGTAAGCGGGAGGCGCCTGGTGGGCGGGGTCAGGGGGCAGATGGAAATGTGTGGAAGCGCCATGGATGCTAGAGCTGCAGGTCAGCAAGGTTGAGCCCCCCAGGCTCACGGGGGCCGGGCCGGGGAATCACCCCTGTGGTTAAGGTTCCTGGCTTTGGTGTCATACGGAACTGAGCACTGAACCCAGCACCCCGGTGACCGCCCCACCCCCTCGGGGCAACTCATCCATCTGCCGGCTTGGTTTCCCGGGTTAGGAGGAGGGGATCAGGGCTCTCGGGGGATGAAGCTAGGCAGGTCGCACCGGACGCCCAGCAGCAAGCCCCTAAATGGTGGCCGCTGTTGCAGAACCGAGTCTGTGGAAAGCCACCATTGTGGAGTGGCGCTGGACACCGCCCTCCAGGCCCATCCCCCCCGGAAGCATGTTGTGTTCCGCTGCACAGAGTATTTTCTCTGAAGTCTGAGTTAGGGTGGCCACCGGCGTTTGGGTATCAGGAGGCACCACCAAAACTTACGGAGAGCTGACCTCTCCCGGCCTGTGGGAGCCTCAGGTTGTCTGGGACCTGCCCGCGGGCAGCCGTGACCGAGGGGCGGCTGCCCCCTGTCGGCGGGCTGCAGACCACCGCCCCGCCGGGCGCCACCTGCCCCCGTCACTCACCTCTGAGCAGGGCCTGGCCTCTGTAGGCATTTGCACTTGCTCTCTTCACAGTGAAGTGGAGCTATTATTATCTCAGGAGGGGCGAGAGCCATCGGAATTCACCACCGAATTGCTGGCTGGGGCCTCCTCGACTTTGCCGTGACATTGGTCTTGGGAGGCCTGGGCTCATGGAAGAGCACTGAGCGGCCCGGCCTGGGAAGCGGGGAGGCAAAGGAAGGGGGCGGCGCTCTCTCACGAAGGCCTCTGCCGGCCCCCGGGGGCAGCTCGGCTGCCCGGTTTCTCCCCGGGGCCCCTTAGTAGCCGGCGTGGAAACACAGCGGGGTTAGGGCAGCTGCTGTGATGATGCCAATCCCCGGGCGGCTCTGGGCCGCTCAGCCTCGAGGATGGGGCTCAGGAAGGCTCGAGGCGGCCAGGGTGGGCCTGGAAGCTGGACGTGGCTTCTCAGCACCAGGAAGGAGGGCAGGAGGTGCTGAGGGGGCGTTGATCCCTGTCGCTGTGCAGAGTCTCCTGCTGGCCCTCTGCGGTCCAGACTCCCCTCTCGCTTGTCCCAGCCCCTCCGGGGTGGGGGGACCCGAGCCTCCAAGGCCGCCTGCGTGAGGGCCGGGGACCCTCCGCTTCTGCAAAGCCGCGTCTGCCCTGTGCACACGCAGCCGGGCTCAGACTCCGAGAAGCCCTCCCTCCCGATCTGCGTGCCCCTTCGCCGGACGTGTGTCATGGTGCCTCCTCTCTCCCACATGTTCGGGAAATACATTAATTTCGTCTTCACGGAGACTTTACAGGGAAGCTGAGGTGCAGGGAGGTCACATAACCTGTGCAAGGCCACTCGGCTGGACGGTAGTGGAATCTGGATTTGAACTGCAGAGCCCACCTTCTAAACCACTGCCTTTGAATGCTGCTTGGGAGATAAGGGGGTGCTCCAGGGAGGAGTCTGGGATGACGCGTGGACTGAGTCAGGAGTCCTCCACGGAGCCAGTTGGGGGCAGGCCTTGGGGCACGGAGAGCTGGCCCTGGGCTGCAGGGACGGAGGGAAGCCAGCTTGGCTGTGGGGGTGGATGAGGGGGCGTGGAAGTGCCGAGGGGTCTAAGCCATGGTCTGAACCCACGTCTTCTAACGCTCTCTCTGCTCCCGTGTGGAAGAGGGGTTGCCAGAGGCAGAGGAGCGGCTGGGAGACCAGGTGGTCCAGCCGAGGCCTGGTTGGACCCGCCCGTGGTGATGATGAGTATGTCTGCGATGCACTTGGGGGGCTCGTGGCTCTGGCCTGTGGATGTGCCACAGGTCAAAGGTCACTCTCACTTGACCAGGGTCTGAGCTGGGGTTGCTGGGGTCTGCTTCCAGTCTGGGGAAGGCTTTCCCTCTGAGGCCTTGACAGTGTAGAGGAGGGTCTCTGATACTTCTGGAATATTCCTCAGCCTGTGGTGAGAGCTGGTCCCTTCCAGCCTGGAGCAGACATGGCCTCAGGGCAGGGCAGCCTTGGAGGGCTGACTGGGGTGGGTGGTGGGGGGTGTCAGGTTAGGAAGACCAGCCAAGTGTGGGCGGGCTGGACACAACCAGTGTGCGTGTGGTGACCCGATTTCCAGCAGCGCCTTCCCTCACACCAGCACTTCCGGAAGGAGCAGTAGGGCCTGTCGATATGGGGTCATAGGCGTTTTCTGACTATAACTTTCTGGTGGACAGTGAGCCTTGAGAGGTCAGTGCCTGAACCCCTCCTCAGGCCCAAGATGAAAATGGTCAGCTAGACAGAGCGTGGGTGGCCCGCGCTCACCGTGGGCACACCACGAAGGGGTCTTCTGGAAGCCCCGAGGTCCTCACGGCGCCCTGCCCGGGCTTCCTCTCTCTGGGTGAGCGATGTTTCTGGGGGCTCGAGGGGCGGCGCGAAGTGCCCCAGTCCCTCACCACCACTAGATGGCGCAGCTGCAGCGATGATGTTGACGGGGCTCTTGGTGCCCCTTTCTCAGGAGGATCCCTGGGTGGGGGTTCCTGTGGTCCCCCTGGCCCCGGACGCTTCCTGGACCTGCTGGGACCTGGCCGTGTGGTGTCGGGTAAGCGACGGCACCTGCACGGCTGTCCGGAACGATAGTTGGGTACAGGGAGGACGGGTCTCCATCAGCGCGGTCATTTCATGCTGCACGAGGCTGCAGGTTCAACCGCCTCATTTCTTCTGTTGCTACTCAGCCTCTGCCCCTGCTCTGCGGGGTCAACAGGACGGCCATGGTTCTGTCTCCTTCCTAAAGGCTTCCTGTGGTCTGCCCTTGCCGGCCAAGGCTCCAGAGTCAACTCTGGGCAGGAGATTCGCCCAAGGTCACACAGGGAGACTTGGAGATGGTGACTCTCCGCCATTTCATCGATCACCCATTCTCTCTCCTCAGCAAAGGGGCCGCGTTGCCCAAACCATCTCTGCTTCTCTCTTAAGCCAACAACAGACCGGAGTCTCCAGACGGCGCGCAAGCAGGGGTTGCGCTGACGGCCATCCTTTGGAAGGAAGACATCGAGTAGATGAGCCACCCGAACGGGACCGTGGGCGGTTGTGGTGTGTGTGCACGCGTGTCCGGTTTGTTCGTCCCGCTAACGCTTCCTTCCCCCTCTTCTCATCCTTTCTGCCCCAGGCTCTTTGTTCTCGGTGTCCTCGGAGCCTCAGCAGCCATGTCCCCGCTGCGGCTCGGGCAGCCCCGTGGCACCGCGGAGCCTCATGGGTGCCCCTTGATCTGACATCTCCACGCGTCAGCCTCTTCTCGACGGGAGTTTCACCTTTGCTCTGAGGGAAAGGTTTGCTACGAACACAGGTTTGTACAAACTCGGCCTTAGGAGGTGAAGCCCGATCTTCGCCTCCACTGGAACCTAGCTATTTGGGAGGGTTTCTGGGCCGCGTTCTCTGCAAGCGTCGCTTGGGAGTTGAGGCATAGGTAGCTCTGAGGAACGGCCGGGCAGGGGGGCCCCTCACACACACCTTGCTGGCGCTGACTTTGGGTTCACCCCCAGGCTCCTTTAGGAGTAATTCACAGTGGCGACCCAGCCCCCACCAGAGGCACCGGCAGTGCGAGGACTTACTGTACCAGGTTACCGCCGCGCCGGATCAGGTGAAAGCGGGAAACTCCAGACCATCTGTTGTAAAAAAAAAAAAAAAAAAAAATTAATAACGGAACATCCGTAGAGCAAACACTTTGTACTGCTGCATAACACATGCGGATGCCGTGACCTTGGTTGGGGCAGCCGTGGGCTTGCCCACTTCCTGCTCGTCTGGTGCACCCGGCGGTTAGGCTTGTGGCCTTCTGCCCCCTACCCCCACCCCCCGGGAGGAGAACACAGGAGCCCCGAGCCCCCGGCAGGGCTCCTGTCCCGGCCGCACAGGGACGTCCAGCTCTGGCCACGTTCCGGATTCTCTACTGCCCCGCGCCATGGTGAACGTCCCGGGCAGCATGTCCAGCCCTGCTGGCGCTTCCCCTCTGCCAGGGCCATCGGCCCAGAGCCTCCGGAGGCTGCTGGTCCCGGGGGAGGGCACGGGAGGGTGCGGGCCGAGGGCGGAAGGCCGGTGGCACTGCGCGGTCTCCCGCGGCCGTGAAGGACCAGCCCCGAGCTCGGCTCAGGAGCGAGCTGACAGCACCTTGTTGATTTGCAGCTTCTGTTCCGCAGCGGGCGGGGCCCCCGTCGTGGCAGCACTGGGGCCGGGCGGGCCTTCAGACCCCTCTCCTGGGGCGGCACACGGAGCCGCGCCGTGAGCACGCGCCTGCCACTCCAGTCAAGGCAGCGACGGAACCTTCGGGGAGAAGCCTTCAGAAGATGAAATGCTGAGGCCGCTGTCAGCGCGCGAGGCCGGGCCGGAGCCGAGCCAGGCGCTCCCCCGCGGTGCTCAGAGCCGCCGCCGCCCCCGCAGGCCCACAGTCCAAGGCCGTTTCTTCAAAGTAAACAGCGCTGCCTTTGAACTGGGAAGGGGAACGGGCTGGAGGGCAGGTTTCCATGTGCCGTTTGAACAGGATCCGTGAGGAAAGGGTCTTCGGCCTACGGGTCACGTAAGCCCTTGGGGTGCGGAGAGGGGCCGCCGCTGTCCTGTGACATCTCTGTCCCTCTGGGAGCACCCTAGGTCCCCACGTGGGGCAGGGCTGGGAGGGGCGGCAGGAGCCCCGGGGGCCACATAGTGAGGCTGGGGAGGGTGCGAGGCACAGCCCCGGGGGGGAGGTGATGACCCGGGTCCTTCCGGAGGGCCCCCCCCAATCCTGTGGTGCTCAATTCAGAGGGTTGGGCGGAGGCTTTCCTGAAAGGCTTGGAGGAGCACTGCGCCCGCGGGCTGTGCCGTCAGGAGGTGAGACCCGGGGGGCCAGACAAGGGAAAGGCCACGTCGTCCCCCGCAGAGGCCCCGCTCCCCCGCAGGTCCCCCATGCGGTGGCCAGAGGCCACTGACCATGTGGTTGTGCTGCTCCAAGCCTCCAGGGGCTACTTGGAAGACGACCCGCCCTCCGAGCTCGGCCTTGGCCACCTGCGTTTCCCCCAGGTGCCCCACACCCCGTTTGGCCCACAGCTGCCTGGAGACCTGGACCCGGGCCTGCCCCTCCTCTCCTGGGGGCCTTCCTCGCTCACACTCTCACTTTCCGCCTGTGGGGAGCCCTACCCCCTCCGTCACTGGCGTCACAGCACCCATGTCTCTGTCCCTTTGCTGGGAATGCATTTGCTCCCACCTCTCATAGTCCGTGAGCTCGCAGGACCAGGGCTGTAGCCGCCCTGAGGATTATCATGTTCTCCAGCTTAGGCTCCATGGTATACAGTAGGTACCTAATAAAGGTGTGAGAATGAGGGGTGCCCGGGGGGCTTAGTGTCCAACTTCGGCTCAGGTCATGATCTCACAGCTGTGAGATCCAACCCCGCGCTGGGCTCTGCGCCGACAACACAGAGCCCGCTAGGCATTCTCTCCTCTCTCTGTCCCTGCCCCACCCACGCTCTGTCTCTCTCTCTCTCTCAAAAATAAACTTTTTTTTTTTAATTATGAAAAAAGTGGATGTGTGAGAATGAGTAGGGTGAATGTCTTTCTCTGTGCTCATCCCCCACAGAGCCCTGCTCGGCACGTGCTGGTGTCCCAGGGGCAGGAGCGGGGCCGTGCCTCACCTGCCTTTCCCAGCGTCCCTCTGCTGCTGCTGGGTGGGGGGGGCGGTTCTCGGGAAGCGCGATGCCCCTCCTCCATCCGGGCCAAGCCAGGCCCCCCCCTCCCCATCCTCTCGCATTACAGTCTGTTTGCTCTTTGCCTTGATGGCACTTCCCAAAGGGTGGAACTTAGAACCTATTCTGAAGCCTGGCATCCCCAGCCACTGGACCCCAGCGGGCGGGGCCTGCCTTCCTCACACATGCGGCACAGAGCAGGCACGTGGGTGACGTCATTGCTGGCTGGCCGGACAGCAGAGAGATGAAAAAGGCAACTGAAGGAGATCCCAAGTGCAGAGTGGCTTCCTGACAGTTGAGGGGACTCTCTGGGCGTGGGACAGGCATAGGGGTGAGAGGTGGCGCAGGGCATGCTGAGAGTCAGATGCCTCCTTCCCGGTAGAGGAAACGGGTTCTGGTAAGCAGACGGCGCTGAGGAGCTGATGTGGAATCTTCTGGGCTGGAGGACCCCCTGGAGCCCAGCTCTGCAGGGAGGTGCCAGGTGTGCACCGGCTTTGTGTGTGTGTGTGGGGGGGTCCTAGTGTTGGGCTCGGCCCCTGGGCCATGCCAGCCAGACTTCCCGGTACCAGGCAGAGAAGGGGCCTAGGCAAATGGGCCCAGGCAGCCCAGGGCACGGCCAGAGGCCAGGAGATAGGAATGAAGGGGCCTTTGCGCCCAGACAGCACGTGCTGCAGGAAGGGCTCCGAGTCAGTGGCTTTGGAGACTGTCTGGGGGGAGGGTGTGTAATGGGCCACAGTCCATTCCTGGCCCCTCCCCTTCTGCGTGCTCCCCTGCACCCAGGAGGCGGCACACGGCCCACCCCCATGCCCCAGGGCAATGCCATCCGTGCTCTGTACTAATACCAGCTGCCACCCATCTCTCTCGCCCCTAGCCCTTCTGCCTTTCCTGCCTTGGCGGGGAAACACCGTGACTGCCATGGCCAAGGCCAGCCTTCCTTCTTGTAGCTTCTGCCCGTGGTCGCCCCCTTCCCCCACCACCTGACCAGCCGCAGGCACACCGGCCTCGCCATGCGCCTGGGGCAGGAATCCCTCCCGCGTGGGGTTTCCTCCTGTGGGAGAGGAGGCTATAAGGGAACAAGAGGCATTATGGAGCATTCCAGAAAGTGCAGAGTTCTGCGCATGGGGGCAGCGGGAGGAGGAGGGGGCACCGGGGCAGCAGGAAGACAGGCTGCAGGTCCAAATGGTCCCCTGTGCGCCCTCCCCTCTGAGTCAGAACCCTGGCTTCTCTGCCTTCAGCACCACCGACATGTAGGGCTGGACCGTCCTCTGTGCCAGCGGCCTTCCTGGGCTTGTTGGAGGTTTGGCTGTGTCCCTGGCCGCCACCCCTCTGCCCACTGTAACGACCAGAAACTTCTCCAGACGTCGCCCAGTGCCTTTGGGGGATGATGGGGGGGGGAATCTGTCCTCCACCTGGAGACTGTGATCAGCTTACACGGATGTTACCTTGGCCAGCTGGGAAAGGAATTTCAAAAAGGACAAAGAGCACAGCACTTGCTTTGTCTTTAAACCTGACCTAGACTGGAATCTGGGCCCGGGGGTAGCTGAGAAGTAAAGGAAGTCCCTGCCCTTCCGAGGGTCCTGGTGACGGAGAGCATTTCCTCTGGAGGCTGCACGACGAAGGAGTAGCCTGGGTGGGTGAGCATCGTGCGCTAGTGCACATGCATGTCTGCCGAGCTCCGTTCAGGGCCCCGGGAAGCCCGAGGACAGTGACCCCCCAGCGGCAGGCACGTCCCAACACTCAGGCTGTGATCCCTGATGCCATCGTCCAGCAGAAGGAAGCAGGCTTCCTGTTAACAAGAGCTTGTTGCCGGGCCTCATGAGGCAAGGGCACGGGTGAGGGGAGGCAGGGTTGTGGCGGGAAGGGGGAGGAAGTGCCCAGAAGCCAAGGTGGGGCCACGGCAAAGGACACAGGAGCCACCAAAAGTGCCCCCGGTGGCCCAGGGTGGGAGAGTTTGACTAACAAGCTAGCGCTGGGCTACGATCCCCGTGTATACCATACGTATGCACGCGTCTACACTGCAGTCAGAGAGTGAGCCGCAATAAGAGAAATGTGTACGAGAGACAAATCCCTGTGTGGAGAATTCCAGAGAATTCATGTAAAGGCCCCTCAGGAAGTGGGGACATAACTGCCTGTCTCCTTGGTCTACAGGGTAGAACCTTGGCCTTAGCAAACAACACCACACACCGGCCGGGGCCAAGGCTCACGTGGTCCGTGACAGAGTCCTGTTGAGCTCGCAGCCCCAGACAGGGTGTGACGAGAAGACCCTCAGGTCTGTGAGCCTCCTTCCTCACCCCTCACCCTGATACGTGCGTCAACCAGACATCAGGGACATTGCGTAGAATACCTAACAGCACCCCTCAAAATGGTCAAGGTCATCAAACGCTGGAGAAATCTGAGAAACTCACAGCCAAGAGGAGACCTAACAGCTGCGTGCGATGTGTCCTGGGTGGGATCCTGGGACAGGAAAAAAAGGCCATTCGGTAAAAACTAGCAACGATCTGAATAACATGTGCAGCTGAGTTCAGTTAATCATGTATCAGTGTTGGTTCATGAATTGTGACAAATGACCACAGCAGTGTAGCAGTAGTAGCAACTGGGTGCTGAGCACACAGAAACTCGGTACTATCTTGGCAACTTTTCTGTCAATCTAAAACTATTTTAAGATAAGTTTACTTTTTAAAAAACATTTATTCAGTTTTGAGAGAGAGAGAAAGAGAAGGGTGCGAGCAGGGGAGGGGCAGAGAGAGAGGGAGACATGGAATCCCACGCAGGCTCCAGGCTCCGGGCTGTCAGCACAGAGCCTGACGCGGGGCCCGAACCTATGAACCATGAGATCATGACCTGAGCCAAAGTCAGATGCTTATGGACCGAGTCACCCAGGTGCCACCAAAGTTTATTTAAAATACAGTGTGTACTGAAAAATAAATAATCCAGTGAAGAAATGGGCAGAAGACATGAACAGACACTTCTCCAAAGAGGACATCCAGATGGCCAACAGACGCATGAAACGATGCTCAGCGTCCCTCATCATCATCAGGGAAATGCAGATCAAAACCACACTGAGATACCACCTCACGCCAGTCAGAGTGACTAAAATGAGCAAATCAGAGGACTCTAGATGCTGGTGAGGATGTGGAGACACGGGCACCCTCCTACACTGTTGGTGGGAATGTAAACGGGTGCAGCCCCTCTGGAAAACAGTGTGGAGATTCCTCAAAAAATTAACAAAAGAACTCCCCTAAGACCCAGCAATAGCACTGCTAGGAATTTACCCGAGGGATACAGGAGTGCTGATGCACAGGGGCACGTGTACCCCTACGTTCACAGCAGCACTCTCAATAACAGCCAAAACATGGGAAGAGCCCAAGTGTCCATCAACGGACGAATGGATCAAGAAGATGTGGTTTATCCATACGATGGAATACTCCATGGCAATGAGACAGAATGAAATCTGGCCTGTGTAGCAACATGGATGGAACTCGGGGGTGTTATGCTGAGCGAAATAAGTCAGGCAGAGAAGGACAGATACCACATGTTTCCGTGTATAGGAGGAACTTAACGGAGGACCATGGGGGAGGGGAAGGGGAAAGAACAGATAAGGGGAGGGAGGCAAACCACGAGAGACTCAAATACTGAGAATGAACTGAGGGGTGGGGGTGGAGGAGGGGAAAAGAGGTGATGGGCATGGAAGGGGGCACTTGTGGGGATGAGCACTGGGTGTTATATGGAAACCAACTTGACAATAAACAAACAAAAAATAACAATAAAGTAAAATACAGGTGTGCATGGCCCGGCCTCTTAAGAAACAGGAAGCAGACCCCGGGTCCTCCTGTGCGCAGACCAGCCCTACAGAGAGAACGGAGGTGACATTGCACCCCATGCCCACGCAGGTCCTGGGCACCCCCCACCGATCTTTCCTCGGTGCCGTGACTCACGGCAGGTGCGCGTTCACAACGTATGGGGGGGGCTCCTCTTTTGCCTGAATGCAGGCCAGGTGGTGGGGCTGCTCCCCTCTGCCTGCTGGGGTCTCCCACATCCTAGCCAGTGTCCAGGCGGAAGAGACAGTGGAGGAGGTCCCTTGTGTGGGGGTAATGGACGGGAGGGAGGAAGCTGGGGGGCTGGACACGTGGTGACGTAGAAGAGTTGGTGTCCAGGAGGCGCCCGGGGCCCTGGCAGTGACCACACAGGCAGTGGGCCGGCCTGAGGGCCGGCGTTGGGTCTGAGGAAGGGCACAGGAGGGCAGCTGGGCTTTCCTGCCCCGGAGGGGTTCCTGCCCCCCCCCCCAGACGCCCTCAGGCCCCCCCGCCCCTCAGGCTGGGACCGCTGGTTCAGAGCCTCCCTGTCCCCATGGCCCTGAGTGTCCATGGAGCCCGGCCCTCCCAGTCACTGGTGGTGGCTTGCAGAAGTGGAAGAGAACCCAGAACATTCCGTTGTCAGAAGGAGATATGGGGGGGGGCCCATATCTCCCCAAACCCCTCTGACACGGTTCACTTTCTCAAAAGGCAAGATGTTCTCGCGATCTGAGGTGAACCGGATCCGACCCCGTCTTCTCGGAGAGAAAATGTGTCCTGGGCCTTCGCGCCTGCCTGCGAACGGGAGCCGTTTGCGGCCTGTTCCTTCACAACTAGCTGTGACGCCTGTGGTCCAGGCCGGGGCCGCGAGGGCGCCCCCACACCGCTCTCCCGAGGCCCAGCTTCCTTCCGGGAAGGGTTCCGAAAGGGGCTCAGACAGCAGGGCCCACCGGCCAGCCCGAACTTCAGGAACCGCAACGTGCTGCGAGGCCCTGTCCCCCTTCGACTCAGCTTTGGGCTGTCCGCAGCCGCAGCCCACGTCCACAGCCACCGGGTGCCCTTTCTGCATGGGTGACTCACCAGAGTTCACGCTCATTTGATTTTTACTATAAATTACGCCTCACATAATTTCTCCATTACGGGCAGAGGACGGCCCCTCGGAAAGGCTGGAGCGGGCCCTTCGGTCACTCGCGCCAGGGAGGCGCTGACTTAGTGCTCCTCCCACGTGCTGGCTGGTGGCGGACGGCCATCGCAGGTGGCTTAATGGACGTGTGTCCCCAGCCCACTGATGGGAGATGCTCACCTCGGGCCCCCAGGAGAGGCAGGGGGGCAGGCAGAGAGCGAGAATATTTGCGAGCCACTTGAATACTGAAGAGTGGGATGTTGAAGGTTAAAAAAAATAAACACACTTTTAAAGATGGAGGGGTCTCCCCTCCCCCTTCCCTTCCTCTTGCTTGCCTTCCTTCAAATATTCATTGTGCCCAGAGTTGTGTGAAACCCTGACACCGGCATTACAGCAGTGAACAAAGTTAGGGCCTCAGCCCTCAGAGTGCTTATGGCCCAACCAGATTAATTGGATAATCACAGAAACACATGTCAGACTGCCACCAACGACGATGCCCAAGTGAGGGGCTGGTCCCTTCCTTCCCAGGGCATGTGACGTGGGGCTGAGGCCCTAAGGATGGGGAGGCATTACCAGGCAAAGAGGTGGGGCTGCATGTGCAAAGGCCCTGTGGGAGGGAACCGAGGGAGCACGTAGGACCCAAGGAAGGCCAGGCGAGCTGGGGGGGGGAGGGGGGAGGAAACAGGAGTCCAGGCAGGGCTGTGGGCCCTGGAAAGACTGGTGCTCGTTATCCTGAGGCTGGGGGGCCGCACCGATGTTTAAGGAGTGGGGGTCATTCTGTGAAACAGTCATCGGCTCAGCCAAATCCCGCTGGGAAAGGGGAGGGGAGGGGCCCTTCCATCTGCAGACCTGGCCCTGACCAGCCAGTCCTGGACTCGGCATTTCCAGGAAGAGGGAGTGTGTGCAGAGGTGGGGGAAGGGCATGCGTGGCGGCGGGGAGAGCAAGGACCCAGAGGCTGCTCCCCGGCACGGAAACCATACGCTATTTTGTAAAAATCCGACTCGCTGAGGACCATGACTCATCCACCCCAATTCCCCCGGCAACGGAATAAACCAATTTGCTTAAACCTCCAACTGATCTCATACATTTGTCTTTTTTTTTTTTTTTTAATATCCAAAGCTCAAAAGAAACCAAAGTTTACAAGAGGAGAAAAAACCTAGCACACTAGATTGAAGCAGACGTGTGCTTATCTGTTTTCCAAAAGAATTGAATTAAAAAACAAAGCCCACAAACAGAAGCTCACGACACTGTCTGCACCAGCCACTTGCTGTCCCTCCTGCCTGGGTGCCTGGAATAAATCACCCTGCAGCCTGGCTGTCCTCCCGGGGAAGGGGCCAGCCTCCTTCCGGTCCGGGGGAGGGGGGGTCCTGCCGCAGGACGCACAGAGCTGGGTACACAGCGAACCCACCCAGTGACAACTCTAGATGCAACTTTGGGGTTGTTCCTGACACTGGCGCCCTATCGCTATTTCTATAGATGACAAAAAGTGAGGCTGGGAGACGTCAAGCAATCGACCTGAGACTCTGACCTCGTAAATATCAGGCTGGTCCCGGACCTCCGGCCCCCCGCCCCTCCCCCAACCCCGGGCCTCTTTAATGCCAAATACCAAAGGACACAAAAGTCATAACCTTTTTTCTCTCTCTCCAAGCGCTGGGCATACACAGAGCCACAGATAACAGGACAGCGGATTCTCAGCTAGGGTCAGCTTTGTCCCCCACCCCAGGGACATTTGGCCACGTCTGGGGACATTTTGGTACCCACAGTTCAGGGAGGGGGAGGTCTTAGCATCTACTGGGTAGAGGCCAGGGGGGCTGCTGACCTCCCTTCAGTGCCCAGGACGGCCTCCCGGCAGAGAAGGACCCAGCCCAGCATGTCGGCGGCAGGTGGAGGCAGCCTGAAACCGGCGAAACGATGTGTGTGAAATGCAGGCACACCCTCCGCAGACAGGGCTGGAAAGATAAGTACCACAATGTCTACATTTGTTTATCTCCTCGTGAAAGAATTTGGGTAATTTTTTTTTATTTTTCTTCCTTACGTTTTTCTGTACTGTTTGAATTTTTTAAGGAACTACGTGCATGTATCATTTTTATAATCGGAAAGAGAAGAGCTGTTTTCATTTTGTAAAAAAAAAAAAAAAAAAAGATTCAGGACTTATCGATTCTGATCCAGTTCTCCCACTAACTAGCTGTCAGGAACAGCGCTCTGGAAAATATGTCTATCTGAAAAGTAAGAAGAGCAATCCTTCTTGCATTATATTATAGGAATATAAAGTAACGTTGCCCTGGAAAAGCTCTCTGAGCTCAGAGGAGAAAAATTGTTAAGAATACGGAGATACTGTTTCTCTCATATATTTCCCCTCTGAGCTGATGTCTACAGTTTTCGCAGCACAGACATTTAGGAGATGGGGGTGGGGTGCTCGGTGAGGGTCTTCTGGGCGCCCACGACTGGGAAACAGAAGCGGGTCCGGGATGCCCTCCGCCCTCAGGGGAGAGAACCGGATGCTTCCACCTCTGCAAGGTAGCATCTGGTCTCCGGACCGTCTCCGTGCCAGGCTAAGGCTTTCGCAAGCAAGGCGCCGTTAATAATCGGGGCGGGTGATTCTCTGTTGGGGGTGGGCATCGTAGGGCGTTTGGAACATCCCTGGCCTCCACCCACAGGCTGCTAATAGCTCCCCCCCCTCCCCCCGGGTCTGGACCACCCCACGTGTCTCCAGTCGAGGCCAAGTGTCCCGGTGCGGGAGTGCCAAGTTCACGGGCTGCGCAGAGCCTCGCGGGCAGCTCGGGGCCTGCACGCCAGGCCTTTCTACGGGCGGTTCCGACTCCTGGACCGGGACGCAGACGTGCTGCATTTCTGAGCCACTGCCCGTGTTTTCCGTCTTCAGAAGTGTGCCCTTTGCGGCTCCCTGGCTCACGGCAGCACCTCACAACGGGAGCCCCCAGGGCCTTTTGGACAAGCCCTGCTCCCGCCGGTCCGTGGTGAGGCCTGGGGGGGGGGGGGTGTGGGGGGGCACGCTCCAGTTTTCCTACAAATAATGACACGCAGGCGGGCTGTGCCCCCGTGGCCCCGCCAGCAGGAGGGTCAGAAGGGGCTTGCCTTTGTCAGGAGCCCATAAACCCGCCGGCGGGCCGCGAGGAGGCCCGGACAGTCGCCGCTTTGCACGCCGGTGCCCACATCGGCAGCAGCAGATGAACTTCAAATGAAGTAAGATAAAACCAGTTTGGAAATTCAATATCTCACCTCCCTTCCCGTCTTTTGAAAAATCCATAATTCATGGAGAACCCAGTCGGGTGTGTGTGGGGGGGGGGAGCGTGGGTGTGCAGTTCAACTGAATTATCAGTTTTTTGTTTTTTGTGTTTTTGTTTTTCTCCCCCCAAGATCGAGATCAGGGAGAGGCATTTTCCTGAAACGGAGAAAATAAAACGCAACTCTTCGGAGCTCATGTCCCCTGACGCTGACGTTTCTTGGCCCAGACCGCCAGCCCCTTGGGACAGGAACATCACAAACACGTGTGAACAGCATTCTAAAGCCCTCGCTAATAGCAGTGCCAGGAATCCATCCTTCCGATGTCCTGGACGGGCCAGGGATGATGAATATACAGGTTTATTCATTGCCGAGTGGTCGGTAATAGAAACACACTGACAACACCACAGATGCCTGTTAAATAAGCCGCGTTCCCTCCTCGCGGTGGGGTTAGCGGGTAGCACTAAAAGCAGAACCCGGAGGCTCATTGTACAGTGAGAGGAGATGCGTCACCACATTGTTGAAGCCGCGGCGGGGGACAATGTTTATAGCGTGTGCTACCATCTGTGTTTATAAAAAAAAAGGAAAAAATATACACGTATGCATTGGCTTGTATATACCTAGTGTGTCCCGAGGCTGGCTGGCTCCCAGGAGGGGGGCGGGGAGGCCAGAGAGAGAGAGAGAGAGGCCACAGGACGCCTCCCTGCACACCCTTGTGTGTGTTTTGATTTTTAGACCAGAAATAAGTGCTCAGAAATAAATATATAAAATTAAATTTCCTTTACGAGAAAACACAAACAAACCACGCACCGTGCTAATTTGTTATGAAAAACACATCGCGGGGAAGGCACAGTGAGTCGCTATGAGAGGCTCAAGCGTGGCGCCTTGGGGAGATCCAGGCGCCTCTCTGGACCTCGGAATTTTACCAAAATGTGCAGTAGTTTTCTAAGGATTTTTTCCCCTCTGTGTTGCTAATATTCTGTATTACTTTGATGCCTTCCACACTGCAGCACACCCACCAACACCCTCTAGCCGTGGGCCCTTGCCCCCGAGTCCCCCGGTCCCTAAGCGAGGTGGTGGGAGTTTCCGTTATTATGTTTGACAAGGCATGACGTATTTTTATGTGTACGTCCTATTTGTGGCGAGCGATACGCTGAATTTCTCCGTGCACCGTGGTGGCGAACAAGTTCTCTTTCGAGTAATTTATTTCAGCCGTGCAAGAACAAAGCAATATTAAGTTAAATAACAGCACCGCGGGGCTGGCAGAGATGCAAAAACCACAGATGCTGAAACCTGGTGGCTGAAATGCGGGGCACGCAGCTCGGGGCACCACCAGCCCCCCTCGGCCCAGAAAACCGACTTTACTTTCAGTGACCTGGCCTCTTGGACTCTGCCTCGATATGATCAAGAAAAGAGAGAAAAAAAAATAGGCATTTGCGGTGAGCTTTGCCTTCCTCTAGGGAACAGCAAATCCGGGTGTTCTGTAGGTAGGTGGGGTTGGGGGGAGGCTCCCCGAAACACACTGTGCTCCTTTGCTGTCTGTGCACCTCAGTACAGAGGTGATAATCTTTAGTTCCCATTCCATTTTTGTTTGTTTATTCTTGAGAGAGAGAGAGAGACAGCTTGAGCAGGGGAGGGTCAGAGAGAGGGAGACACAGAATCTGAAATAGGCTCCAGGCTCTGAGCTGTCAGCGCAGAACCCGACGCAGGGCTCGAACCCACGAACCGTGAGACCACGACCTGAGCAGAAGTCAGATGCTTAACTGACTGAGCCACCCAGGCGCCCCTCCCATTCCATTTTAGAACACATTTTCTGTTCCATTTTAGAAGGTATCGTTCACGTTCTCCAGGGTCAATTAATGCCCGAAGTGCCACAATTCCTAACCTGATAAGGGAGGCCCAATGAGCCCTGGGGTTTGGCTGGATCAACCCCTGCCTGCAGCCCATCTCAAATATGTTGCAGACAGACAGCACCAGAAATGGATCCTGGGATAACATATCTCCCCTCAGAAGAGGTATGGTCTAAAACCTTGACTGACAGATGAGATGGGGATACTGCTTTACGGGGTACTTGAATGAAAGTGAGCTCCGAGTTACGTTTCGGAAACACGTGGCAAGGGCTCTGGTGGAGAAGGGCATGACGGCTTCTCCTGACCAGGGCAAAGAGAAAGAATTCTAGTGGAGCGGGCGGAGGCCTGGTGTGTGGTCACAGCTGTACGCGGGCGGTATTTCACGGGTCCCTAGCTCTCCTGTCTGCCTTCAAAGTACCCAGAGTGCCTGCTCATTTGGGACTGGTTATCCCATGGGCTCCTGCGAGGAGCCCATGTACACCTTCCCGGATGGTATTTCCTCCTAGAAAGTCTGCTTAACCCCTCCGTCCAGCTTTGATTAGGCCCGAGCTTGGGAAGGGCAAGAAGAAGGTGGCAGTTCTTAACCCAGATCAGCACCTGGCTACGTGCGGACGTGGAGGCAGCGGCAGAGTATTCTCAGGGGGGGTAGGCGGCCACCTTCCGCGGGCCCCTTGTCAAGGCGGTGTGGTCCCAGCACGCGCGGGAGGGAGTGGGCGTGGGGTGGGGGTCCGGCAGGGCCGTGGACCTGGTTGGCTGTGGGCTGACAGACGACCGTTTAGACAGCAGTATCTAATGCAGGTTGCGGGTGAATGTGAATGGAGATAAGAAGGAAATAATTACCCGAGGCGGGAAGCCGCCGAGGCTCTGGAGGCTGTGATTTTGGTGCTAATGGAAATGTGGCAAAGGGGAGGGGTGGCCGGAAGCAGAGAAACAGAGGCCGTTCTCGCACTTTTCTGAACTTGACGTTTTTCGGTTCCGAAAGTTCTCGGTGGGGGAGCTGAGATGCCAGCGGGGGGCTGTCAGAAGCGGGGGGGGGGGGGGGGGGCCGGGGGTCTGTGCTGGAGCCTCCTGACTCCTCACACCCCGAGAGGCTGCGCGAGAGGGGAGAAGGGCCCCAAAGGGGTCCAGTCTTTCCACTGATCTTGCACTTGTGGTCAGGTCCCGAGTCCCCTCCTGTGGCTTCAGAAGAGGGGCCGGGCGGGGAAGGGCCCAGGACAGGACAGGCAGGGGCCGACCAAGGACCCAAGCGCCCGAAACGCGGCCTGGCGGCCCTGGCTTCAGAGGCGACCTCTGGCCGGGCCGGAGTCCTGCTGCCCCTCACTCAGGAGGGACGGAGGATGGCTTTGGCTGGAGGAAGAGGCAACCTCCGACAGACACCTGCGCCCAGAGCTTTCACCGGCGCCGGGCTTCTGGGCGGTGCCCACCCATTGTTTCTGGAAACCTGACTGTCCATTTTGGTAAAGCTGCCGGGGGGGGGGGGGGGGGGGGGGGGGGGGGGGGGGGGGGGGGGGGGGGGGGGGGGGGGGGGTTGGTTGATAAGACTGACCTTGACGTGCTCTAGGCCATAGCCTGGGAACTGCACCCACCCAGCGTCCCCTGTCCCCTCCCCACTTCCTGGAAGCCGGGACAGCATGGAACCTGAGAACCAGAGCCAGCCTGGTCAGGGCGCGTGGAGTAACACAGACCTCAAAGGCGGCTTGTCTCCATGAGGCCCCCCCACATTTCTTGGGGGGGGGTCTGAGTCGTGCTGCCAGAAGGGAAAGCCCAGCTTCTCACTGCTCCCATAATTTCAGCCTTTCGGGTTCCGCCGTGGGTCTGCAGGCGGCCCTGGGCAGGCCACCCAGCCCGCTAACATCTAGCTACCCTGCCTAAGGGAACGGGCGGGTGTGAGTGGGGACGGCGCTTTATTCACAGACCTTTAAAAGTACAGGCTCCCGGGCCCCTCCCTACACGTGCTGGTTCCGACTCTCAGCGGGTGGGGTCCAGGGTCCGAGTTCTCATTTAAAAAACGTCCCTCCTGCAAACTAACCTAAGAGACACTGGCCCAAGGATACTTCCAAAATGGAGTTTTCTTTCAAAAGGATTCAGGCTACAGCTGAGGATGAGTGGCGAGCACAACCCCCTTGATTTGCATGAGGGTCGGGGGCGAGAGAGGTTTCCACTTCCTTGAGATTTGCTCTCCCAGCAACTGGAGGCAGTAATTATCCATGCAAAGTGAAGCTAAAATTTCAGAGAAGTATCTGGAGAATTCAAGTCAGAAGAAGCACGCTCGTCTGAAATACCTAGATAATTAAAGAAAAAAATATATTCATTGCATAAATTGCTCATTAATTCACTCCTCTGTGGGGGTACACAGCTTAAAAGCAGGCGCTTTGATTAATCCAAGCTATATTAAATTCTCAAGATGTTTTTTTTCCCCTCTCCCCTTCCTGTGCCTGGATCTTCATCTTTCCTTCCTCTAAAGAATCATAAATAAAGTTGTCCCTTTGCAAAAAAATGCATTTCAGGTTTGGCTTTGGCAGAATAAGCCCTATAGAGTTGGTAGAATCAATTTGGGTGCACTTTTTCTTTTTTAAGTACACATTTTGAAATCAGATGCATTCTTTCCCGTTCACTGGAAATGCTAATTTTTTTTTCCATCACATTTCGAAGTTACATTGTGTGTGGCTAAGCGAATAACCCCCGCACAATAGCACTTCAGAGAGACTGAGGGGGAACACGGTCCCAATCAGAGTGAAAGCCAGACAAATGGTTAATTTCAAAGGCAGGCCACTGATTGGGGAGAAGAATCTATAGAATTATTTATTTCCTTAGGAGGGAAAAAAAAAACCCTGAAAATTCAAAAATCACTTGGAAAGAACAAGCGTCTAATCCTGACAGGTTGATTTTCAAGACCCTCTTTAATGAAATTTCAGCACATCTGTTCGCCACTCATTCTCCTGCCTGGCTGCCCAAGGTACCTTGGACCTGGCTTGCTCTTCATTTCTCCAGCTGTTTGATTCGGGTATAATGGATTCCACTGTTCCCCATCCCTCCGGCTGGCTCCAGGAGGAATCGGCCAACCCCACACAGAACGCCGCTTCCAAGGGGGGTTTGGGGGGAGTGAACAAAAACAGATGCCGAATTTGTAGATTCCGTTGTGTAGCCTTCAAAACAAAACAGAACAAAACCAGCCTTTTATCGCACGTTGGCCTGAGCCAGTGTCTTTTCTTGGAATCAATGGTAAACACTTTGCAATGCTTGGTTTTACAGAGCTTCTGGAGGAGTGTGGAAACATCCTGTGTGGAAAAAATCTTTTGTGGTGTGTAAGGGAGACGTAAATGTGGGCTATTTCCAGGTGCTCCGCGGGTACTCCTGTCTAGTCAGTTAAAGGTGGATAGATTGGTCTCCGGATTTGGGATTTTATAGGGCAGTAAAAAAATAAGAATAATTAGAGGGGAAATAGTCACTTTTTATCTTACCAAGAAAGGGCAGTAGAAAGCAGCCACCTTCTAAGGCGAACTCTTGTGAAAGGAAGAGCATTTATTTTATTTTTTAAGTTTGTTTGTTTGTTTATTTATTTAAAGAGACTCCCAAGCAGCCAACTCACGAACCACGAGATCATGACCTGAGCTGAAGTTGGGAGCTAACCCGACTGAGCCCCCCAGGCGCCCCAGAAAGAGCTTTTAGACTTTCTCAGGGCAACACGAGCAAGGACGAAATCTTGGAGCTGATCACATCGTGTATTCATTCG